CGTGTATGTGTGTACGGGATCTGGGTATCGTCTATGAATGACCCAGACCCCACCATCTCATGATTGTATGTGTGTGGAGTGATGCCATGTAAGTCAGTTGGTGTGAGTCAGTTCGTTATCAGACTTCCGCTGCATAAATGCTCATCCTATATTGGTTGATCTTTGGTTCTGCCCATACTCATTGAAGTATGCAACAATTGATCACTCATTAGTAACGCAAGTAGGACTTCGTCAAATCTCTGAAAATTTTTTCTCGCAACAACTATCTGAAATTTCTGATATTCGCATTTTGTTTTACCTGAAAATTTCTGATATTAGTAGTTCGTTTTTACGTAGCAAATATCTGAAAATTTCTGATAAATCGCATTTCGTTTTGTCTGAAAATTCCCGATAGTAGCATTTCGTTTCTCTGATATTTCGCATACATAGTTGAAATTTCTGAAGTTAGTATTTTCGTTCTCTAGGCATATTGGGATAACGATAGAAGTGGTCATATTCTCGAAAACTGGAATTATTCTTTTCTGAAAATCGCATTTCCATTCTATCTCGCAATTTTTTTTTGAAAACCGAATCTTGCGAAGCCTACCAATATTGCGCTAGGCATATTCGGAGGTTGCCATATTCTCAGAAACTGGATATCGTTCTTTTCTGAAAATCGCATCTTTACTCCATTTCGCAAATTTTTTTTTTCAAGATCGCAGTTTGTAAAAGTCGAAACTTTGCAGAACCCGGCCTAGATCTCATTCATAATACTCTTCTGACATACCCTACTCATCATAGATCGACAGATATATACAAAAAAAAAAGAAAAAAAAAAGGAAGTAGTCCTCTTTTAGTTTTTATTTTTTATTTTATCTGTTGATTAGGGCCGGAGGAAAGTATCGTTGGGTTGGTTTCCTGCCTGCGTTTTCCCTCCCACCCACCCTTTGCATGCATTTCCGGGATGGTACAGTGCCACGTCAGACACAGTGACACATCAGCTACAGTGACACGTCAGCAAGCCACGTCCACAGTGACACGTCAGCTACAGTGACACGTCAGCAGTGCCACGTCAGACACAGTGACACGTCAGACACAGTGACACGTCAGACACAGTGCCACGTAAGCAGTGCCACGTAAGCAGTGCCTCGTCAGCAGTGCCA